TAAAAACTGCTACAGTGTTTTTTTCTAAATGGACGTTTGTTACGTTCCATTTTACCAGATCTATATCTACATAAATCATGCACGAAAAAAACATAAGGACTGTGCCTATCCATATTACTACGATTACCGTGAAAGCTAAACGAGAGGCTGACAAGTCAGGCGGTTGCGTGACACACGGTGCATCATTATTCCGTTTTTGCCTATACTATAAAACCGTATTTCATGCGGACGCGTCGATAACCGGTGCTAGGTGACAACGTCTATACGTGTATGCAGAACAATCAGTGAGTCACGATACGCTGAAAATCGAAGTCGGCCCCGCTCGATACATTGGCCTGTGCCGTGCGCCGCTTTCTTCGTACTGTTCTGTGAATGAATCCCAGTCCGACAATAAGAATCCGTCTCTATCAATCAGCGCGAAGGAATCGATCGTTCGACGACTGGATTGACGAGGGGGGAAAATGATACACAGCTCCTCCGTTGACGCAGTGCCCAGAATCCGCACATAAAATACACCAAGGCACCAACCTCAAGTACTTGCACGGTTCTTTGCACCGATTTTTATTAAAAACCAACGAAATTTCCGTACAGTAGGTTAGAAAAGAGTTGTTACATTTCAATTTAAGGTTACGAAGTGGTGTACGTTTTAGCATGCAGATATTCCGACGTGAATTTAAGAGAACGTTTTTAAGGAGAAGGGCGCGTTAAACGTATTAAAACGTTTCAAAAAAAGCACTTGCTCGACAATTTCCAGCAGGAGGAGCAATTTCGCGCAGCCATCGCATGCTAACTCAGCCTTGCCGTCGAGAAACTTTCCGAGAAACTTTTTTTCCATCCGAAGCGGAAAAAGAGAAAAAAAAGGGGGGGAAGAAAAAAATCGAGACTAAAAAACTCGAGCAATCGATACACGCCGTAACGGTCACGAATCGCGGGAAAATGATTACTTATGCATCGGTGATTAAGCGTCGCTTCCTGACTGTGCTACCAGTCGCCCTGAAGTTGTCGTCGATTTCTATGGCAAGACCTTATCGATCTTTAACGCCTCGCGATTACGTGGCGCATCGAGATTGCAACTATTTACATTGAATTACCGAACGACCAGAGATGATCAACGGAGGAGAGAGAGAATGCTCGATGATGCTGCACTTGAACTTTATCACGCGATCGTTAAAGCGACCTAGAAATAACCGACGGCTTCGATGCGTTTTTTACGATCTGTTTAGCATATAATTACCATGTGACATTTTTAGAAATTTATTTCGGGATATGAATAATTCCCACGCGTATTTTGCTTTACTTGAGAGTAGAAGTGGGTTCTTGAACTCTCGCAAAAAATAACGCATTAATAAATACAGTTTTGTGCTTATAAAAAATTATTTAAAAAGTACAGCCACTGTTGGGGAACATAAAAAAAAGAACTACGTCTGAAGATAAATGCTGAAGATAAAAATTTATTTAGGAAGATGCGTCAAAGTCGATGAAAAAATGCACGCAATAATTTATATATAAAGCAATATTTTTCTTTTATCATTTTTACAATTATAAGCAACAAAAAATGATACCTCATTATACAGAACAACGCAGAGCTATTTATTTGAAATTGGCATAAAAAATTCGTTTACGAATCTCTGTAGTGCGGAGACGTTATCGTTATACCCCATTTTCATTTCTGGAGAGCGAACGTTAATTTCGACGGCGGTTCATTCACGACGAGGAGCACTTCGGGTAATACGCAGAAGCTTTGAATGAAACTTCGCAACTAGGTCGAGGCTCGAAAGGTATCAGAAAATGATTTCGTCCGAAAAGCGCTTAGACTCTCGATATTCCGAGAAACCGACGCTTTCCATTCTTTATAGGTGTGAAGATCGTCTTTAGATTATCACTTAAGGCAAAGAAAAAATTATACGGCCGCATATCAGCGAGCCCCTGAATTAATAATTTAAAAAGGCGCGAATGACATATCGGTAATTGCGTATGGTCCATGGAAATAAACGAATTACCCTTTGAATCCGCTTTCCTGACACTGTAATCCATTTAACGTATCCAATACTTATTCTATCATTTAATAGATACATCTTGTGGCGCTAAAAAATTTCGATATCAAATGATCTATACCTGTCTAATTGATTTGCAACTTGTTGATAACCTCAAAAATGTTGAAACTCTCCCAAAAAGCGGACATTCTTTTACAAGAAGCATTATATTCTTCACAGTATACCATGTACGTTAATACCTTCAAGAGTACAGAAATAAACGTATTAAACCACTCGTGAAATAGCCCTTCATTACAATAATCAGTCTAATTTTCGACATAATCTGTTAATCTTATCAAAACAAAGGAGCACGGTCGATATAGAGGTTAGAGTCGACCGTATAGGCGAACGTGGACACGTATTGCGTGCAGAAGAGCCGGTGACGCATTGCAGACGAACAAATTGTTGGGAGGTCAGCGAAATGGACGAAAAAGAAGCAGACGAGGAAAAAGGGGAGAAAAAAAAGAAGAAAATGAAAAAGAGGTTAGATGTGGCGCGTTTCTCAGCCGGCCGAGAAACAACATTCGTCCCTGCCTGGGCGGTAAATCAATTTCATCGAAGGACGATCCGGGAGTTCGAGAATTGTGGCGGGGTCAACGAGCCGCGCACAGCGGCTGCATTAATTAAGTAAACGCTGCTGCTATTGCCGACCTCTTTCAACCGCTAATCGCGAAACGCTCGCGTGATTATGTTCGTCTCAGTTCACCGGTTTTCTGGTTTAGAAATTCAACAATTTAACACGTATCCTTTAGGTTAGGTTTTCGTATCTTTGGTCATCCTTGACCAGTAAAACGATCGGTTAGCTGAATCTGCTCGTTGTGTTAGCGTCTCGATCAGCTGTTGACGCAGCACGTGCGGCTTCAACGAGGATTCCCTTAGAACCAATAGAAATTGGTGTCATTCCCTTGTTCCAAAAGATGAAATTGGATGACTGGACAAAGGTGCACCAGGCAAAATCCACATATGATCGCTCTAAGCAACGAATTACGCCAGGGACACTGGCTGCACGCAGTGTGCTCTCTTATATAAGTTACAACCAGTGGTTAGATAGAGAAGAAGCATAGAGAGCACGATCGACAGACATGAATAGTTCACGCTGCGTGACGTTTTCCCGAGGACATCGCTTTTCCACACGAAAAAAGATCATTAATAAGACGGTCATCTGGAAGCTGTTGTGAACGACCAATGGCTAACGATTAAACGCGGATTGGTCGAGACGTTTGGACGCGTCCAACGACGCATCAAACGCATGTTCTGCGTTGTGACAATGTTCGGCAAGTTCAAATTGCTTCACTTACCAAGTAAGAAGTCAGTGGACGTGTCCAGGAAGTGATCTTCGACACTGGCAGTGTTCTTCGTTGCTCTTCTATCTTCCAATACAGCCTCACTCAAGTTTTACGCGAGAAAAACGACACAGAGACACCGACGATCACCTTCCTGTCGTTAAAAACAACGTTCGCGCCGGTTTTCTCGGATACGCCGAGGCGAGAAGACAAGCGACAGCGTGGAATTGGTCAGTCACTATTTTAGGTACGCGTTACATAGATAAAAATAATCTCGTAGTCACAGAAAATCACGTCAGTTCACATGCACCGTGGTCCAATCGAGCAGTGTACCCCTACTCAGAGTAGACGAGTCTATGAACTCAAGTTTCACGACGTTCACGCGATCCCTTAATACAGAACGAACGGCAACGAGGATGTTACGTAGGTTCAGACTCGATGACACGAGCCTAATAGAGATACAGTCTGATCGTCGATGGCTTTCACCGTAGGCTATTCTCCTCGTCCTCTGTCTCTATCGTCTTTCGGATCGTGACAATGGACTAGAAGCTGCAGCAGCACGCTGCACACCCAGGACGCACCACGCAAGTTCCAGCTGACGTCCTGGCGAATCGAAGAAGTGGGGAGGGGCATAACAGTGTGGGGAACAGAACGGTGGAAAGCGTGGTGGACAGCTTTCGCAGATTTAGATCGGCTCTTGTCGTTGGAGGGATCGCGTCACGTTTGTCACTTATCTCAGTATACCAATCTGTCGACCAATCTTTCACACTTCTAATCAGATCTTAGACGTTAGAATATCGACACACGTCATTAACGACATCTCTGAGTGGTTATGAGGATTGGAACATCAACTTTGGATTAGGTTTAGAGTATCCTATTCGGATGTAGAATTCAAGAAAATGAAGTATTATTCAATGTAGACGGAAAAATCGTGCACTGCTAGCCAACTACTATAGATAGCCTGTCGTGAAATTAGACCGCGTTTTAAGCCACCTAGAAACACGTCTTGTCGTCCCGACGGCGCACGTGTACTCTCGTCCAGCGAGGGTGTTCGCGAGCTGCTTGATCGTCGTCGACGGACTCAGCCAGAATCAAAACGTTACAGGAGGGGGGAATCACCGTCAGAAAGGAGGGGAATATCGGTCGGCTTGGGCTAGTGTTCAAGAAAGAGGAAGCGACCAACCGCGCGACACTGAATGAACTCGTCTCTGACCCCGACACGTCCTACCTCGTTCTCGACCACACGGTTTACCAGCCCATTCCACCCCTCTGTAATTTCTGTTTTACCATGGGAGCCTTTTTCTGATGTCGATAATGATTTAATACACACATCGAGAATTTATCTTAGTTTTTGGAAATGTAGCGCGACGATAAAGCGACTCCCTGTTTAATCTTGATCTCGAATAATAGGTTTCTTTAAAGAAACTAGGTTTAGAATTGATTCCTCTGAACCTAGTATCATGCATCACACTTAAACGTACACGAGTCGATGCTGCTATTACAAATTAACCACGTCGCCCTGTATTCCTTTACTTTATCTTCGCCATTAACTATGTCAAGTACGAAGAACAAACAGAAGCATCTTTCTTTTTTATTTCTTGAAAGGTACACACCAATGTACAGTATATATTCTCGAATGTAAAGCGCTTATTGACAGAGTTAGTCGTTTCAATTGCGGATTAAAGATATAGAGGAGCTTTGATCATGGTGATCGTAGGACTTCGATAAAGGGATATCAGTCGGCGGGTTACGCAAAACAGAAGTCACGACGGGGAAATAAATCGCGTCGGGACGTTCTGTTCCACGCGCATGCCAGCCTCGCTGGTGACGTCAGAGGGTGAAAAATCAATCCAACCTGTACAGTGCGGCAGGACAGGGACGTTGTATATCTGTTTGCCACGGTCACCGTCATTGAATTAGCCGAATTAATTGTAGTTCACCTAATCGATCGCCCTTGGGCCAATTTTCAATTTTAGAATTTCGACCATTTCCGATATTCTCGAAATCCTTCGCAGAATTTCTATGAATGTATTTCTCGCTGGAAGAATGCAACGGGAGAGGAATGATTCTCGGATGGTTTACTTGGAGGAGGGACGAGTTTTCTTAGAGTCTGCAGCGGGAGAGGTAATAGAGGGGGCAAGAGGGAGGAATTTAATGTGAGAGAGAAGCTGACTGGGGTTGCTTGAACTGCAAAAGGAAGAGAAAGAAGTGGACGACCTAGTTGCTACGCGGCAGTACGACGTAGTCTCACGGAGAAACTTGTCCGCAGAGACATAGTTAGCATCTGTAGATTTATCGACGAAAATTCTGTAATGAAATTAGTCCAGAGGTAGAAATAATTCTTCCCCCTCTGTTTTATGACTTTTCTTAACAGCAGTACACGTCGATCTTAACTATCGAACTTTGAAATCCACAGTTTCATAACCTCAAATTACAATCAACTTCGAAGTAAAAAATTCCGTTCGTGTACAAGATAAGGATTTAAGTGACTGCATTTCTACGATATCTACCGTAACGTCAGAGTTCCATTGAAATTCAATTCTTTTCAAGAAACTCCAAGGAAACGAGAGATTCGAATTGAAAAGGCAATAAAAGTGTCACAGGTACTGTTTCCACGTAACGAAACCTGCCGTTACGCAATCCATTCAAACAGTAGTGTTTAATCGATTAATTAATTGTCCGTTTCAGCTTGTTAAGAACGCACACGCCTGTATAATTGGAATAACGATTATGTAATACAGGGTCCCCAGAGCTTGAGAACACGCGACTTTGATCGTTTCCCTATACGCGCCAATGGATATATACATACATATGTACCAGGTTGTGCGGTTTAACAGGCTGACGAACGCCTGACAAACACACAGTTCGGGGAGCCAAGTCTTATCGACCGCGGCGATGCTTTTATTCCGTCTGAATCGTGACGCACCTTATGCGTAGTAAATTGAATTGAACGCTGACGTCGAACGCCTCCCAATGACCAATGACTCCTTCAACTCTGTACCATCGATTTTGCAATTGCCTGATGGTCATATGCTCTTTATGTATCTTTTATGAATTCTATGCGCCTTTTAAATTGGCGACTTTACATGCAGCGACGTTACGAGTTCATACGCATTGTGACGTACATTTGGTGTTTTTATTGTTTTATGGAAATAGAGAGTTTTGAAGTTAAGAAAGTTTACTCTTGGGCAGCTAGAATACTTATAGACATCTAAATATGATAATGAAGTAGGGTGTTACGAAAATCCGAATATTCGAATACCAGTAGAATTCGAAGTGGTTGAATTTTGGATTACTTTGAATATTCAAATTTTCCGAATAAAGAATTCATATTCGAAATAATCCGAATTATTTGAATAGCTCGAATATTCGAAGGGTTTGAATTTCGGATTGCGACGAATATTTCATACACTTGGAATATTCGAATTTTCCGAATAAAGAATTCATATTCGAAATTATCCGAATTATTCGAATAATTCGACGATCCAAAGTTCCACAACCCCAATCAACTTTTTAAAGTGCGACCTGAAATCGAATCACGCGAACACCTATTGACACCCAAACAGTAATCGTTTATCAATTACACAAAAATTCTTCATACACCAAATAGTGATAATCGAAGAAAATATTCACCTCAGAATTGTTTCAACAGAGTAATTACAATTACTCACTTATTATCCACAGCCACCGTTAACCGTCGCAAGTCCCAGGAAAAGAACACACTGGCAGTCTCCGTTCCCGTGATCTTGAAGCTGCATGATAATTGACAAAGGCTGTTTTTCCGTCTGTCACGTCTTGGTGGAAGGCACGACTGCGAGCTACGAGCAAACAATCCGCAAGATTGCAGCCGAAAGGCATTTCTGCATTGCTGTTTGTCCCGTGTCTCAGCATGGATCACCATTAGCTTATCAAGTCTGTTAAACGAGGACGAAAGAAGGCAGAGACACCGAACGAGGCGGTCTTTAAGTGTGTCTGGAGGTGGTCGTGTGATTGTTAAGTAACAGTTTAGATCGTGTATGGTCCTCCGTTGATGAGCGCAACAACGTTGATACACGGTTGCCCGCTTTAATGTACGCTTCTGACTCTCTGTCTTTCAAGTCAATTTGCTCGTGTATTCATTTCAACAATTCGCCAGAAGAATTTTCCCTCTATGATTTGTAACACGTTAATTCGGTGATTTCTTCATAGACTGTTTTTTTCTTTTTCTCCTTTTTTTTTTGGTACGAAATGCTTAACCGCGAAGTTTCCATAAGTTGAATTTTTGTTTTCGGTAAAATTGATGAATGTATGTCAGGAGAGATAGAGAGAGAGAGAGAGAGGGAGAGAGAGTTTGAATGGTTTCTTCTCGGTTTTTTGTTGCAAACCGTACTGAATTTATCTGCCGATTGCGTTTCGCTTGGCACCCGATAGTTCTGTATTGGGCTTCCTTCCAATATCTCTGCAACGATGTTGGGAGGTACACGTGCCACTTTTTAGTTGGCACCGCGTTCTATCGAAATTGTAGGAAAGTATACTCCACACAATTTAGACCGTAATTGGAATTTATATATTTTCGTGGTTGGTTTTGACTATCTTTTTTAACACTTTACACTTCATTGACGCCGCTATTGCGATGTTCATAATGTGCACTGGAGATTTTATAACAATTCGATTATTTGAATACCAGTGGAATTCGGATTTTGGGTTGGAATGGTTGAATATTCGAGTATTCCAAATATTCGGTACAATTCGGAATTCAAACACTTCGAATATCGGAATCAAGAATTCGTATTCGAATTATCCAAATTATTCGAATAAAGAATTCGTATTCGAAGTTATCCGAATTATTCGAAATTTCAAAACAAAGTAATGATGTAAAAAAATAGTTTATTATCAATGTTGCATTAAGCGATACAAAGCAGCAAGATAACATACTAGGTGGTCCATAAATCACTTTACCATATAAAAATCGAACATTTCTTTTTATATTTTTTCTAAATTTTTATTTCAAATTTTGAAAATTTATGCTTTGGACATTTATTAAAAAAATATTCACGACAAAATGACGTATAAAAATAGTTAAACTTTACCATACAAAAGGAATAAATACAAATAATTAAAAGAAACGAAAAATTCGTTCAATTTTTAAATGGCAAAACGACTTATGAGTCATCCTGTATCTTTGAATGGTTCCATTGTTGGATTTAATCAATTCCAGCTTTCATTCAGTAAGTTCGTACCTGCTGGAACGTATTCTGAACCAAGGAAGCGATATGTGGCGCTATCTGCAGGCGGAATTCGCGAATTCTTATCATTTATCACAGAATCTATTGCAAAAAAAAAATGAACAATTCGTACGTTAAGAAAAAACGATCTTTAAAATCATATATTAGTAGAAAGGTCATGGAAAGTGTTAATTTCTCGTGGAAGAAATCTTAATCGATATTCAATTGTCTGAAAGAACCCTGCAGACCATCCAGTTCTGCCAGCAATCTCGATTTCGATTCCGGAAGTCTCGCGTTTTCGTTCGTCCTGCTGAGCTTCTCTTCTCGCAGAAACCAGTCCTTGTTCTTTTCAATTTTCTTCTTCCACGCGTCTGCAGTGAAAACATCTCGTTTGATTCTGTACGAAAGTGGCAAGAAGTTGATACTGAATTGTAGAGCTTTTTTAAATACCGTTTAAATCGTCCAAAGTGCCTGCTTTGCCACCCCATTCGTTTGGAAGGATGTTCTTGTTCATGTAAGAGTGCAATTCCTCGCCACCACCGGTGTGAACGCGAAACTTAACAGTGGAAAATTGGGATGTAAAGTGTGATTGACGAAAATAGAAAATTGGTATGTAAAATGAAATTTGCAAAGATAGGAAATTGCTACTAATTGGGATTTACAGAGATTGAAAATTTCAGTGTAAAGTGAGATTTTGGGAAGATAGGAAATTGCGGTATAAAATGAAATTCATAGAAATAGAAAATTAGGATGTAAAATGAAATTTGCGAAAATAGAAAATTGCGATTAATTGAAATTTACAAAGATAGAGAATTTCGATGCAAAGTAGGATTTACGAAAATAGGAAATTGCGGCGCAGAATGAAATTCGCAAAAATAGAAGATCACGATGTAAAGTGAACTTTACAGAAATAGAAAATCACGATGTAAAATGAAATTTGCGAAAATAGAAAATTGCGATTAATTGAAATTAACAAAGATGGAGAATTTCGATGTAAAGATTGACGAAAACAGGAAATTGCGATATAAAATGAAATTTGCAAAAATGGAAAATCACGATGTAAAGTGAAACTTACAAAAATAGAAAATCACGATTGATTGAAATTTGCAAGATTACGAAATTGCAGTATAATGTGAAATTCGCAAAATTAGGAAATCGCAGTACAATGCGAAATCCGCAAAAGTAGAAAATTAAAATATGAAATAGTATTTTTATTCGTTAAAATTTTATTAGATGCTTCAAGTTACTTACTTTTTGAACGAGTCGATCTTTCAATAGCGGATAGAATATATTTAGAATACTGTCTATAAATGCAGGCGCGTGGAGGAAGTGAACTCTGTGAAGACGCAACGGCATACTATCTTGCACCGCGAGCATCGATTTCCTCACGATACTCTGCGTTGGACTGCATTTCGTGAAGTGAACCACGCTGAATCCCTAATTAGTTGCAGACAAATTCGATCATTAGATAATCGATTTTTCGACGAATGCAACAACCTGATTTCTGAAATTTGTACCTGAAGATCGATCACCATAACGTTCGACAAACAACTTTCTTCCATGAGACGAGTGTCCAGGACCATGAGAATTCTTCTGGAGATCGCCTGGATGGAAAATTTGTCAATTGCCGTGTCTTTTAATCGTAAAACGCTCACACGGTGTCCTTCGTCCGTTAAAGATGGCAAAACGAAATAGTGGCTAATGAGAAGATTGGAAATATTGAAAAGAATTGCATTAAAATTCGAGAGGAATCAAATGAAAATAGAGAAACCAGAGAAATATTGCAAATTAAGAAAAATTGAATTAAAATTCGAGAGGAATTAAAATAAAAACTGTGAAACAAGAGAAATTTTGTAAATTAAGAAGAATTGTATTAAAATTCGCAAGGAATTAAAATGAAAATATCGAAACAAGAGAAATTTCGCAAATTAAAAAGAATCGTATTAAAATAAAAATGGTCAAATAAAAGAAATTTTGTAAATTAAAAAGAATTGAATTAAAAGTCGAGAGGAATTAAAATAAAAACTGTGAAACAAGAGAAATTTTGCAAACTAAGAAGAATTGCATTAAAATTTCAAAGGAATTAAGATACAGTTAATTAAAAGAAATTTTGCAAATGAAAAAAATGCAATTAAAATTGAAGAACAATCAGCTGAAAGTAGTTAAATAAGAGGAATTTCAGTTACATCGATTCGCAGCATTCTTGAATTTCACGTGCAAAAGGATCACGAACAGCGAAGAATTCCGGAATAGCTGTACGAACGCTGAAATATCGCTCCAAAATTAATTTACATCGTTCTATACTATTCTTGCAACCGAACAGGAATCTCTCCAGCCTTGCATCGTCTGCAATTAAACAATTCCAAACAATTAAGTACCCCTATCCACCTAAAAAAAAAAGAACATTAAGAAAACAGCAAAACTAACTTTTCCCCTCAATCCTACACTAAAAATAAAACACTCAACACTCTACGAATTACATTCAATTTAACATTCTCATCAACAATCCCAAAATAAAACAAACTTAATTTCCTTAAGGGGGTCTTCTAGCGTGACGGCCGTTTTTTAGGCCTTCTTTGCTAATTTATTACAGAAGTACGGTAACAGTTATTAACATGAGCTTTATTCCTATGTATTTACTTCTCCTTGAAGCATCATTACAAATTTTTTTCGTTGAAAAATAATTAAATATGGCTGCTGTGGAACACGTCAAACAGGAGCATGAAAAGAAAAAGTAGGTCCATGGTTGCCATGATTCGAGCTGTTCTGCTTATCAGAAATAAAAAAAATCCGATTGATTCTTATTTAGTATGCGTGTAGCTATGGTCGGTAGTAGAATAAAAGAAATATATTGAAAATTAAAAAAATGGCGGCACTTTGAATACGAAGTATCGATTTCTTCGACTTTTTTTCGTCTTTCAGAGGCTCAAAAAATCAGAAAAATGTATATTTTGGCATAATTCTACTACCGACCATAGCCACACATGTTTCGAAGACGTGTGCAAAATTTGAGTTCGATTGGTTCAGTAGTTTTTACCAGATCGTGGCAACCATTTCAGAAAACATGGTTCCGAGAAAAACGCGTTTAAAGTTTTCAGTGCAATTTAGATTCTCCCTTGATGTGCCACACTAAACGAACTATAACTTCGTTATTTTATTGAATACAACTATAAAACTTGAGGAGTACATTCTGAAAGAGTTGTACTTTCGATATACGCAAAAAGATGTGTCACACTAAACGAGCTATAACTTCGTTATTTTATCGAATACAACTATAAAACTTGAGGAGTACATTCTGAAAGAGTTGTACTTTCGATATACGCAAAAAAATAAAAATCGATTTTTTCAAACCGTCACACTAGAAGACCCCCTTAATTTATCCAAAAGAAAAAAGACAGAACTTTGCATATCTCTCAAATTTATCAGCCACTCCTCAAACACACCCTTTGACCCATATTCTCACTCTTTTATTACTATCTTTTTTTCCTCGTCGACACAGAAACACGCAGAAATTATTCAGAATAGTGAATCAGACCCATGTGGTTAGGCAGATGAGGTTGCTTCGCCAGCCATTCCCTTACGGCCACAATGTCGCGTTTCCTCATTTCCGGATCCGCAGGAACCTCCTCGCTTATGCGTTTCTGTTGCTCGGCCGTTGGTGGTAACAACGTCATCGTGCACTGCAAGCGGTCGGTCATTTTTCAAAAAGCAGAAACGCCGAGTATGTAGTCGTTGGAAAGGAATTAGGGGAAAGGAGGAAGTCGTACGAACGAAACAGGAATCGCTCGGAAAAATTTCTCAGGATCGCTATCTGTTTTCCTTCTTTTTTTTTTTTTTTTTTTTCACATTACAAACGGAACTTTTTTCCTGCAAAAGGAAGCGAACTTATCGCAGAGACAGCACATTGATAACCAATATTGACGCTCGTCACATATGTGTCTCGTCTTACGACGAGCATATATGTTTGCGAACAAAGTGCGAAACTTTGTTTCCGCGGAAAATGAACGTACCGACGGTTTGGACAAACCTTGAATCCCGCTTGTTTCGTCGAAAATATGTATTAATGTTTGAAGTTCTCTCGAAGTGTATATATGTAAGTTGATGTTTGAGAAGCTTTTAATAGAGGAGAGAGAAAGAATGGTTAAATTAAGATGGAAGCTGGTGTGTTTTCAACGACTTCCTCTTTAATGGTTTTGACCCCGAACTCTGGCTGCCAATTAGCATGATTATGTCACGAGGACCGGCAATGGACGACAGGCGGTTTTTTTTTTTTTTGCGTTTATTCGATGCGATACGGTTTTTGTGAATTTTGGGGAGGATAGATTTTCTGAGCTTATGGAACAGTTTTTCGGGAATGTTAAATTGGTAAAAGTTATTTATGAAATATAGAAGATTTTTGTATTTTAAATTTTAGTTAAATGGGCATTTTTATATATCTAATTACTTGTATAAAATATAAAAAATTTGTCGATCCTTTGTCACTTTTAACTTTTAAATTGGTGAGAATTATTTGCAAAAAATTTTTAAATTGCTTTGTCATTTTTAACTTTCAAATTGGTATAAATTATATGCAAAATAGTTTGAAAATTGTTCTATATCTTCTCAGTTTTAACTTTTTTTATGCATCGAAGGCTGAACTAACGATAAACAGCTAAGAAACAAAACGAAACTTATAAATTGGCAAACATTATTTCAAAAAAATTTTTTTAATTGTCCTACGTCTTCTCATTTTTAACTTTGTTTATATCACAGTAATAATCACAGAAACAAAACCAAACTTTCAAATTGGTAAAAATTATTCCCAAAAAATTTAAAAAATTTTTCCAAACTTCTGTCATTTTCATCCTTTTCCATGCATTGAATGCCGAATGAAAGGTAAACAGGCGAGAAACAATAATCACAGGAACAAGGCGAAACGCATGTTTCGTCACAGCTAAAGAAACAGTCGAGGATTTATCGGTGTCGCGCTTCCGACCTCGTCGTTTACGTAAACTGTCGAACCCCGAAGGTGAAACGAAACAGCCATTCGTAAAAAGAACGCCCAACATTACGGGGAAAAGGAGAATCGACGTGATCGGAATTGAACGTTAACATCGTACATTGCGTCACCGTTGAATCTCTAAATCTCGAATCGGTAATTCGATCGGTGAAAGCTCGTTTCGGTACCACGAAACCGAGCCCCTCGCTGTCGAAGATCGCTCGAACGTGAGCGAAATTGATTAGATCGACGTGGATATCGTGAAAATCGTGATGCGGGTGGAGAAAGCGCGAGCAATGTAAACAATGAACCGAACAAGTGTTTTTCGATTGATGAAATTTATCGCTCTTTGCGTCGAGCGGTGATTGCGTGTATTGGGCGACGGTAGTCGAAACTTTTTCTGTGTCTAAGAGTAATTTTTCAGGAAATTTTTACGAATTCTCATGGATTTTTGCGAATTTTTCTGAACATTGATGGACTTTTATCAATTTTTATGAAATTTCTATGAAAACTTAGAGAAAAATCGATTTTTCTTTATGAATTCCTATGGATTTTTATCAATTTTTATGAAATTTCTATGAAAACTTAGAAAAAAATCAATTTTTCATCGTCCCTGCTTAAAATATCGAAGAGACTGTCGAAATTTTTATGAAAATTTAGAGGAATATCAATTTTCTATCGTCACTAATTAAAAACTAAAGAGATTTTTATGAAAAACTAGAGAAATATCAATTTTTCATCGTCACTACTTAAGCAAATGAAGAAATTTTCGAAACATTAATGAAAATTTAGAGAAATATTAATTTCCTTTTTCGCAAATAACTAGTAATTCTGAAAAAATCCTCGTCCATTCAGAAATAAAGAAGTTTTCGATGCAAAGTGTTAATAGAAACATTCATCTAAAAGAAAAATACGATCCTGTTTCAAAAACTCATGGTGATTTCGATTTTTTAGTAACAGAAAAAGTATCCTAATTGATATTGACCGACAATAATGGATCGGTTATTCTCTGATAAAAAGAATCGTGCAAACCACCTTGTATACAAAGATTCTGACGATCTGTTCCTTCTTTTCAGTTTTATTGCAGGTATCTCAAGCAAGTTTTATGCAAAAATATTTTAATTTCCTGAATTTATTTTCACGAAGAATTTCTAGTCTTGTTAGTTTCAGGTAATTATTATTCCACGTTAAATGTTAAAAAGGAATCGCTGTAATGTCGTTCGGAATAGTAATTTGGTATATTTTTCAATGAATCCACCACACCAGAAGAGAAGATGAGAAAAAAATGCTTGTACCAAAGAAAAGACACTTCCTTTCGAAAAAGAATCTCTAATCGAATCACTTTTTAACCTGTGCGGAAATAAGTTCAGCGACTGGAATTGCCAGTGCTTGACTGTACAGGGTGGTTCACCTACTAAAAAGTTTGCGAAGCAAAATAATTTTATTTTCTACCTTCTACAATCAAATTTTCATAGTATTCACTTTAAATTAGTTATACTTTAATGCTCTTCTAATTTTCGTAAAGAAATACAGGGCGTTTCATTTTTTTTTAAATCAAAGAAGGCCTTCAAAATTTTATATGTAAATAATGTAGAAAAAAATAATTATTTTAACAAGAGTCTCCCTTGAAGTTATCGAATAATTTCAAATTGTGATTTCAAGTCGTAAATTTAAACGAATCACTCTGTATTTTCGCTTTAATTCGAGGAACAAATGAATTTCTGCTTCCGAAATGATGTTTTCGATATCAGTCTAAAATTTCGAATTACGATTTCTTCAAATTGAAAAGAATTGTGAAAAATCTTGCATATATTGTCTCTAATCGTTCCTTGAACTCGTACGTTTATAGTAGCTCTGAGCAAAACAGGTGTGAATTGAACGAGGCCACTGATAGCAGGCAGTTTGCAGTCTGCAAATCCGTATTAGACATTGCTTGCTAATTCGATAAAGTATCTTTGTCTCATACTAGATAAAAGTAAAAAATATTGTATTTTATCGAGCTACGTAAATTTCAACGTTGGAAAAACATTTATCACCAATCCTAATTTTACCAGATTTTTAAAAACATACAAATCACGATTCTACTATTTTTATTATTTTTTTCTTATTTTACTGTTTTTTAAATTAAAATTTTTCGAACGAAGAATGAAGATTGTTTGTTAGAGGAAAATAATATTGCAACTGTTTTATTTGACTCACCAGAATCCTCAGAAAGTGTGATAGCAGGTTCCACAAATTATCAGATCGACACTAAGTTTCAGGAGGAAGATATTCGAAGTGTAATTCCACAGAGTGTGTGATAATTTCTAGGGAAAAAAAGTGTGTGTTACGTGTGGAGGACGACGTGAAACTGCAATCTCTGTTCGGAGCAAAGCGATTCCTCTAGTATGGCACAGTGATACACGTGGTCCCCACCATCGCGATCGAAAAGCGTGGTAGGTCGTGATTTAGAAAAGCGTCTAGACTCGCTGAAGTTTCTCTTTTTTTCCGGAAATTTTCGTAACGGAGCCCTTCTGTTACCATTAGGTCGAATAGTGCCCCATTAATTCTTAGTACCGCTCGAATAGTGCCATTGCTTCGAATTATTTTGCGAGGAGAAGTTTTGGGTTTTTCAAGTGAGAAAAGAAATTCGAAAAAGTTGAATGAATATTTCAGAATTTCTAATTCTAAATTATCACGAATATTTTGTTAATGGTTTTTGCGTCGTAAATGGTAAAAGTGGAGTCGAACTTCTTTTTGAAAAAATTTTGGATTTTTGAAGTGAGGAAGGAAATATTTTATATTGAATTAAAATTGGAAAATTTAATTTGAGATTTAATCTTTAATTTAATTTAGGATTTGAGTAATAGTTGTCACATTATTTATAGTAAAAATGGATTCGAATTACTTTCGTAAGAAAAAATCTTTGATTTTTGAAGTGAGAAATAAAATTTCAAAATTCTATAATATTTTCTATCGTTAAAATTTGATTAGGTAATGCTTTTCACATCATAAATAGTAAAAATGGAGTCGAATTACATTCGTAAAAGAGTACTCTGGAATATCTGAGGTGAGAAAATTCTGTAAATTTTTCTATGCTTAAAATTCGACAAAAAAGAACGTTCGACAAGAGTGTCGCCCAAATATTTGAATCGAGTTCGATATATTTGTCGCCGGAAGTTTGCAGTGTCGCGTACGAGTATACGTGGAAACCTCTCGTGTCCTTAAATTTCAGCTACGAAGAGTGCAATTGACGAAATGATAATACTTCAACGATTTACGAAATGTTCGCTTGCTTCACTATATACAACAGCCTTTGCATAGCTTGCATCTGGTGCATTCTCTTCTCCGCATGGTAAAACCGCCATTTAAATTCTACATAACCTCCCGCGATCAACGAACTAATCGATCATTTTACAGTTTTCCAAATTTAATTCGCTCGAAAAAAGTCGATTCCAGCGAATGTTTCTGTTACAAAAGATCGAAAGACAAGAGAAAAGTTTCTCGTATCGTTCAATGCTGTTTGAGCTCTAACGAAGCTCTGATCTCTCGTAGATCTCGAGGAAGGCACTGTCAGTCGGATAAAAAGAATCAAGAGAAATACAAATACCGAGTATTCGTAAAAGAAGAATCGTCGAAGGAATAATGAGAAAAAGAATCGAAAGTTTGTTATTTAGAAAAAATTATATTTCTATTCGAAAATAAACGAGGACAATGATCGATAAAAAATTTGTATAGATCTCTACGAACACTGTGGATTATTCAGGAAATTACAAGTTGTATGGATTATTTCGAAATACAGATTGATAATGATTAATTGAAAATCAGTTATTTTCTTTGGTAATTTTCAATTAATTTTGTCCCTGAGCCATTAAAGTGTATTCAGGTACAAGTAGAGGTTCCAATTGAGGCTCAATCATCAGTTCCTTCTTCTCGTCGACGTTCTGTTTAGCATTGAGGTCTTTTATGACCAGTTTTGTGCCCGCCAGGTCGGTGTCGTTGTCTAGAATCTGGACAATCTTTTGCACGGTCGAATACTCCATCACCACAGCTGATTTAGCGTCGTTGGGTGTTTGAGAGGCCTCTGACATCTTGGTTCTGTCCTCGAGCTCCCAGTTTCCCATCATTTCTCTGAATCATAGGGGGTTTTTTGAAAAGAGTAATTAATGTGCAGATTAAAAAGTGGAATAAAAGTAGAAATCTTCTTGAATGTTTTACGTTCACTTTCAAATTCTTTGAAAATTCTTTAGGAATTTTTTGAGAATTTTCTGAGAGT